TACTGCACTGGCAATCTGTCAAAAGTGGCCATCAAAAACTTTATTGAGAAACACGTGTGCAACAAATACTGTAACATTGTGGGATTACAGCCACTAGATAAGGGCAAGTCTACATGAGAAGTGAAATTCCAAAATACAGAAGAACAGGTTTGAATTTAAGGACACAGCACATGATATAGTCAAGATTTAAAGGGTGAACAGCATCAAAATCATTCATGTGACTTCATACACTCAACATAAGCATTCAGCTCCATACATTTCTTTGTCTTGTTTCTGCAACAATTTTATTTTTCCAACAATAAACGTTTGAGTTAATAAAGGAGTTTTCTTACATTGTCTAGGCTAAGGATTCACTTCCTGACCAATTTTCTTCAATGTAGAATATTTATGTTGAGATATTTCAATCACAAATTACAATGAAATATATGTAGCTAAATGCTTTTGTGGAGTGTATGACGTCACTGATAGCTCGAAAGATTCATAAAAATCTAATACTTCCCATGAGAATTTTCAGAAAATAATTAACCCATTTTTTAAAAAGGTTGTTAAGAGTCTTTCAGTGCAGTTTTAGCTAAATTAAAGGTTGGACAATTTTGATGCTAGTCCCCCTTTAAAAATAATGTTTAGATTGTGACTCAAGGGGGAACCCTGTTGTCAAAATTATCAGTTTGACCGATTTTAAACTAACAGAGTTTAGCAACTTTGATCCTATATCCTATTTACAAATAGATAACAAACAGCAAAACAAACAGAATTGACATTTTTCAGTTCTACTTTTATACATGTTTGCATAAAATCATTGTTATGTGACTATATTTTATTGGTTGTGGTTCCATATAGTGTATGTTACTGTTTCAAGTTGAGTTTGATTCTTTTTTGAATTTTAGTACACTGAATTGAAGTATGGCAACCAGTATGAATAACAGATGGTCTAGCTGGCCTCGTACTGACACAGATAATATAGTGTGTTCACAAATGAGTTAGGCTAATCAGACCCAAACTAGTTACTATTCATTCAGGTTGCCATATTTTTGATTAAGTGTATGGACTGAATGATGAATTACATTGATACATGTACTAAGCTGCTAATATTGAACCTGAATGTGAGCTAATTATGAGATTGTACATTTGATACTTGAAAATGCTGCTTTAAAAAAATAAAGGCATCTTTGCAATCCTTGGGTGTTAAATTGGTTAGATTGATGATCCGTTCACATTCTGCCCTAAATTCTTTGGAAAGGAAATCATCAGGAACATCAAGAACTCCAGATTGGATAGCAACCTCATGCAGTTGATCATCTGTCACAGGTAACCCTATTAGTTCAATTCAGACGTGTCACAAAGGATCCATTAATTATTAATTTATTCATTTATGGGGGGGAGGCAGAAGAAGTCCAGGGGGGGGAGGAGGCTGAGTGCAAACATTAAATTTGCAAAGAGAATTTTTTTTATATATGTTTTTGAGTGCAAACATTAAATTTGCAAAGAGAATTTTTTTAATACATGTTTATTTTCAAAAAAATGCACCATAACCTACCACATTCTTCCAGATCATACTTGTCAGGGAAGCTGTGAATATGATTAGGGACTCCATCCGGCAAAACTGTGTCCTTTTGTGCTCTTATACGGTGTGTATTCCATACGTTGTCTTTRAAAGAATCTACCTCTTTCTGAACTACAGGCACCATAATAAAAGCAAGGAGCATTCTGTATGAAAGATGAAACACTTTTAAAAATCAATGTCAAGAAGTCTGACAAAGATTACTTACAAATATTTTCTACAAGMTACCAAAAAGAATRCAAAACTACAAAAAGAATATGAAACAACAAACTCAAAGTGCATAACRGGGGATGACTGCCCYAGAATCAAATATCTGATCTTTGAAACCAGAGATATAATAGAAAGGGGTCAGGATTTGCAATTTTGGAGTTAGAAAGGTTAAGAAATTTGTGATTTTTGGTACAGATTATTTTTCTATTTGTATGAAGTTTGTATCTTTGTTTTGCTCAAATGCTGGACATTTTATTTATATCATCTTAATAGTTTTTTTAATGAATGGTTTTTGATTTATTGTGAGTCAATTCTGTCATCACACAACACAAGCAAATGTGATTCAAATTGTATGATTTGAACTTTGTAAGTGATAAATAAGTTTGTTTTGGTGAAWATCTGCATAGAAAAAATGAATAAATTATCAGGATATTAACATTATTTTGGTCCTTGGTGTTACTGTTCACAACAAACAATGATGATACTTTGATCACTCCTATCTTGTTCACAAAATATTCTTATGACTAAAAATTCTGTAATGCAAGACTTTTATTTTATATTAAGCCCAAAAGAAATTTATGATGATGTCAAGCACAACCTAGAAAAGCCACATGGACAGAAAACCCCTGTCAAAACAACTGGGAGCATCCACTAGGATAATTTGTAAATGCTCAAGTTTCATTACTTTTTGTATCCACAAGGTCCCTTTACTGTTTGTATTCACAATGTCCCCAAAGAAATCCCTCATATAATCAAGCACTAACCTATCCACTTCATCATTAGGATCATAATAAGCATGGTCCTTCAGCCAATTCAGTTGGTCTTTAAAGTATTTTTCTAAACGTTCATGCAGCTCTTTCCACCATCGCTCTATCTTTTAGTTAGTAGAAAGACATAAATGACACTTGCAGTAACAGTAATATTTTCCAACTGAACGGCTTGTCACAAGGGGATACAATGTTTATAAAATTGACTTTGAAGCAGGATAGTTAGAAGTACAGTCCACTTGGTAAGTGAAGAGACATTCAAATTCATATTGTGCAGAAGTGAGGGGTGTAAAATATCAAGTTCAAGTATAAGCAATTTATAAGGTCTGTAAGATATCTAAATTATTATTATCGGACACCTACTTAGACAATACTTATCACACTGACGAAAAAAATTAAAAACATAACCAAAATATCAAACCTGTAAGGATGCAGATTATTCATTTTGACAATCCTGCTAGACTATACTTACTTGATTTGAAGTTGAAGGCCCATATATAACTGTTTCAACAGGATCCATATCATCGTGATTATTTCTAAGMAAAGCGTGCATGGTGGCCATCGTGCCTGTTTCTGTACCCTTGTCGAGTCTTATTATCGCTGGCATCAAGTTTGTTTCCATTAGGTGSTCGAGGTACCATCGCCCTATTAGCTGTGGATTGCTATTACTAACCCAAACTCGAATCCACATTAGCTTCCTGCTTGCAGTATCCAAACATCCGTATACTGCAATGGGGAACRTTGAATTCTGGTACCCCATTAGTTTGTCGTGCCCGTCTAATGAATGTACAAAGTTAGTGCCCTTTGATGAGAAATTTCCCTTCTTTCTTGCCTTTTTACCTCCGACACCTCCACGAGCAGCTAGTCCATCAGGATCGAGGTCGGCCATGACATCATACACCTTGTCTCGGGTAACAAGTAAATTATATTTTTGTCTGATTTTCCTATGYAATGCCCTATAACCTAAGAGCTTTCCTGGTCCTTGTAGCTCCTTTTCCACGACTTCTTTTACTTGTTGAACTTCGATGTTGTTGTCATTATAATAAATCCCAAAATACCTCATGCGACGGTCTAGAGTTCGGAGACGCCATGGATATTCCGGAAAGTCGCTCTTTAAGAAATCTAGAACTTCTTCTCTTGTTAGTCCTWGTTTAACATAATTCTCCATAGCCTTTTTAAGATCATCTTCATCCTTCCAAGTGTCCGCCATCTTGACTGGCTTGTTAAGCACGCAAGGCATGATGGTAGTGGCAGCCCTCGGCCACTGAGGTTTTTTTTTTTTTGAAAATAAAATATGCCTTTGGCTGAGGTCTGCCACTGCCTTTTATTTTTATTTTGTCTATACTGGGCCCTGTGTTGTTTAATTTGTATGTTAACGACCTTCCTAAGGCAGTCAAACATTGTGAAGTTGAGTCTTATGTCAATGATACGAAATTATATACCTCATTATCCCCCAAATACATTGAAGATGGTCTGTCAAATGTCTTGGAAGATCTCAGGCGTGTCGTGGCATGGTGCAGTGCGCATTCTCTACTTATCAATCCTGATAAAACTAAGATCATGCTATTTGGAGTTCCCCAGAACATTTATTGTATACCAGATATTTCCATCGAGTTCCTGGGACAGCAACTAAGACCTGCCTCATCATGCAAGGAACTGGGGATAGTATTAGATCCTAGTTTGTCATTTAACGATCATATAAGTAACTTAACTTCATCGCTCTTGGCTTCTCTGTGTCAAATAAGTAGAGTCAAACATCTTTTTCCCAAGGACACACTACACATGGTTCTTAACTCACTTATTTTCAGTAAATTATTTTACTGTTCCACAGTGTAGTCAGGTACTTCTAAACGGAACATTCAGAAACTGCAACTTATACAGAACTTTGCGGCACGGATTCTCACAGGGGTTAAGAAATACGATCATATAACACCAGCACTTCTAGGCTGGCTTCGTATTGAAAGTCAACTGCGAATCCGCGACGTCACTATGGTATTCAAGTGCATTAATGGGTTAACGCCTGTTTACCTATCTGGAAAGATATCTAACCTTTCTCAAGTACATAGTTATAACACTAGACGTAACAGTGACCTTAATATCCCATTTTGTCGTACGAGAACTGCACAACGGTCATTTTTCTATCATGCAATAGACCTTCAACTCTTTAAGTTTGCAAACGCGAAATGCGAATTCATTAAAGGAGTTCAAGAGACATGCGAGACTAGAATTACAAGTATAATTACAGAATATTATGTATAGACAATTTTATATTTTATTATTATTGTATATTGTATATATTGTATATTTAATTATCATTGTAAATTGTAAATAGGTATTTCAATTTTTTTCAACACTTATTTTAAATTAATTCTGAAAAGCCCGGAGGGAGGAATTAATAAAGCTTATTGTATATTGTATTGTACTCTCCCGAAAAGGATTATGGTACAGAAACGAGCCAATCACGAGCCCGCTTTCAACTTTGCGTGGCATGAGATTTCTACATAGAAAAGGTCACTAACAAGACCACAAAACATGCCATTTTTAAGAATATTCGATCAGAATTTTGTTGTGAAACTCTTGGAGCTCAAAGTAAATAAACATAGGTCCAACATATTGAAATATTACGACCAGAGAAGGAAAACATGGATTGAAACAAGGCCTTTGAATCACGAGGCCTTATGCACGACGGGTGCGAAGCAGCGTGGTATTTGAATCACGAAGTATAGCGGGCTATTAGCTCGAAGATCTCTTCCATTAGGAACTTATGTGTTTCTAAAAATTCAATGGCAGGTATTCACATGTATAGAACGATGAAAGAATAATCTTCACTGAATTCAAAGTGGGCGGCCCACCCTAACCCACCAATAGTTTCTGAGATATCAGCATTTCAAAATGGTACAAAATCGTCATTCTATGGTTTTGACAGCGAATTGAAAACGTCATTCACAGCGTCACTCCGTGAGGATATCTATTTTCAGAGTTAAGATTCGAGTTAGGGATTCGAGTTAGGGAATCGAGTTAGGGAATCGACAGTTGTAAACAGAAAATTGAAATAATCTTACATTATAAATAATAATATACTTGACCTTGTCACCGCATTTCGCATCACGCTAGGCGACACTGCTAGTTTAATGAATGGTCACCGACCAGCCTGTATCATGAAGTAAAAGTTGGAGCCTGTGTGATTTCATCGATAATGGTAAGTCCATGAATTCTTGGTAGAAACGTATTTATTGGATTAAGGTAGTCGCACCGGCTATTTTTGGGTCATTTTTCTTCTTTTTTTCTCTTACATTCTAAAACTTTGTAAGGTCTATTTTACCTAAAATTGTTTTTTTCCACGTATTTTAAGCGTTATGTGCGCTTTATAGCGATTCGAAATTTCGTATTTTACCGGAACAGGAAACAAAAATGAGCTACCGAGTTGCCAAGGAAGTTGGCAATTTGAAGCCATCACACCTTGTTCACACCTCGTCTTCCAACATAAAACTAGTAGATCCAAGACTTTTCCCGCGTTTCCTGCGAACATGGCGTCCAGTCTAGCTGAAGCGACGAGGGAAGCTTCTTTTCAAGCTTTTGAAGCAGAATTTGTCAGAAATGGGTAGGTTTGAGCAACTCAATGAAATTGTATTGTTTCTACTGTATATCATGGAACGCGTTTCAATGAAAATCGACGCTAATTTTACAGTTTTAGAGCACCCGAAGGTTTGTTACGCATTTTAAAAGACTTTAAACTAAGAGATGGTGAGGGGCCAGAAGCGGGTAGAGCACGGATCTATCGACGTCTTTTTGGATTGTTGTGGGTGAGTATTTAGCGAGTTTATCTATCAGTTGTTGT